AAAAAAAACACATTACTCTAAAATATAATAAGCCGTTTTAAATGAGCACTCTTCTAGCTTTTAGTAGAATCCAAAAGGATGCCTTGTCTCTACTCAAAATGTACTATTTATTTTTTGTTTTAATTGCAAAAACAGTGAATGCCCTGTGAGTTTGATTTGATCAGCCTGCCTTTGCTGTTGTCACAATTTGAAATTATTATCGCAAACCAAAAACCTGCTGGTCCTGTAGCCCCTGACGATGCTGTGACTATAGCATATATTGTCCAGCATGTTCAATTTAATGAAATGTAAACTTACCAAACAAAGCCCTGTAATCCATGTTTGCCTCTCGCGCTGCTGGTGAATATTACGAAGCTTGTTTCAAATCAGTCGTCCAGTACTGTATCGCTTGCTCTGTTTAGAAATGCAACCCTTGTAACACCCAAAGCATCTGACAACATACGTAATCGGTCATGCACCAAAGCCTTGAGTTTGTCTTCTCGATCTCTAACACAGGTAACAGTACACAGCAAAAATACATATTTAAATATATGAGTACACTGTGTATTTTGGATTCGGAGCCTTTAGCCACAGAATGTAGTGGAAAAATCGCTTGGGAAATCAGGAAAAGGGGTCATGCAGACGTTTGCGTCTTGCACATGACCAGTGGCATCCAATGACAGACGAAATAGGCCCATAAAAAGATCTATTACAAAGCTGTAAATTGTCTCTAACAAAAAGGAATCTGGGCTGCCGCAAAGCCTCTAGTTTTTTTGCGCATAATGACTGAGCCAGCTGCACTTCCTCAGCAAAGAAAATACAGCCACAGACATCTGCTAAGAGAGAGTGTGTTTGTGGGTGCGTGAGAGGGAGGGAGAGAGGCAGGTAGAGAGAGAAATTGTAAAGACACGCTGGAATGTTGTTAATTTGTGTTGTTTTGAAAGCATAAAAGATGTAAAATAATTAAATTAGTTTGAGTTTAATTTAGGCCTACCTAGAAATGTACATAATTGTAGCTATACAATCATATTTGCCTAGAAAAGTAAGCACCGACTATCAATAACAAAATTGTATGTGTAATAACTAGGTCTACTTCAATCTACCTTAATGCTCACAATGCATAATATTAGATAATAGGTACGCTGCGAATAAGGGATGAATTTTGAAGCTAAGTGTATGAAATGATTTGAATACTTTTGTTTAAACTGAATAATAATTGATCATTACATAACTTATATATTTGATAAACGACAA